TCTCTGCTGGTATGTGCCATGTGATTGTATCCACTGGAATGCTGTCTTTACCCTTCTAAAATATATCTATAGTGTTGTGTATGCAGCTTGCTCATTTCAGATTTTTGCTACGTGAAAACAAATGTAGAAATGCCATTTAACTTTACCCATACCCAAAATCAGGGATGGAAGGCTCTGTGGATGCAGGGAGCAGGCAATAGACAAAGTGTCAATTTGCAAAGAAGGAGAGGAGGCTATTGATGAAAGAATGGGAACTTTTATTTTTTCTATAACCATGTAATGTATGCTGAAGTTAAGATCAATCAGTTTCTTTAAGGTAACCTTCTTTGGGGCTTTTTAATGTATGGTATGGAAATGGGGTTTTGTCATCGTGCTGTGTGTATGGGTGTTCACATCATCTTCCTGTCACCCATTTTAGCTCTCACATTTGTAATTATTGTCTTGAAATGTGTGCCACTTTCTGTGTCCCTGCTGTAGGAGAAGTTGGAAGCAGAGTTGACATTTGCAAAGAGAGAATTGAAGAGATGCTTGTAGGTGGTCTGCCTTAGGAAGACCTCAAAGCAGTGCTCACATGATCTCAGGTGACAAAGTCAATAGGTAGTGAGAAAAAAAGTATGTTGAAAGCCAGGCATTGCTGATTCCAAGGATTTGTCTGATTTTTGAATTCTCTCTCCATAAGTTGTAGGTAGGAATATCTGCTTTGTTTTCCTGTTGATATTTCTGTGAAGTCATTCTTCAGCTGCCTTTTTTATCAGCCAGAGCCTTTATAAGCGTGTTTTCCTGACTTTGTGATAGAGATCTTTTGAGCAGATTATGCTGTATACAGTGAGCTTGCTTTATAAGCAAGACTCAGATTTCTCAGCTTTTGATGTTGTGGAGGATCAGCTACTTTTTAACATTTGTCTTTTGATTTTTTTAGGAACTGCATATTTCCATCAGAAGGAGTGTCTTGCACTTAGTGGGAATATTGTAAACTGGGTTATACCTTCTTCTGACTCTTTTTTTTTCCAAAGTGCACAGTGGGTCTTATGTTCACTCCAACCATTGTCCTGGCATAGTTTCATTTCATTGCAGAAGCTGCAAATTTAGTGGGTGGGGGTGGTTTAGAAAGTGTAGAGGTTGTAGAACATGCCTGCAAGTTCAGAGATAGGAAGAAAAAGAACAAGGCTTCCCTGATGGATCCAAGGGGCTCAGAGTGTGAGTAATTTTCTTCTTAGTTTTATTCCTTTTAATTTGCATTTTCTTCTAAAATTAGAGGAGAAATGCAAAAGACAGTATGTTGCTCCCTGAAAAGGTTGACACCTGCAATGTGAATTTTCATTGCTACTATAAAGAAGGTACTGCAAAGAAATGTGAAGTGGTTGTAGCTCCAAAGCTGCATGATATTTTCCTGTCTTAAGAGCCTGTCTTTGCCCTGCACCCAGTATGTCTTAAAAACACTGCAGCTAGAAATACATCCTAGGGAATGTATTAAGCCTTTCACATTAATAACATGTTGTGATCAAAGAAAGACCTAATGACGTATGTCGGGATCAATGCAGGAACTGCAGGGGTGGATTTGTATCAGGGTTAGGGAGGGCTACATCCTCCCCATTGGCACAGCTTCGTGCGCTGCTCGCTGCGTGTCACATGCTGGAAGGAGTTCCTGCGCAGCTCTCCTTCTCTTCATCCTTCAGCTGGTTCCTCCCTGAAAAAACAAGTGCAAAAGGGATTAGTAATCCAAGGGTTAAAATTCTTTACATACATGGCAGAGTTCGAAAACTGCAGCACATGGAAAAGTGTGTGTTCCCTAGTAAATTAAAAGTAGTGAGAACAGCAAAAACAGTTGCATAAAAGCTTGAAAGCAACTATGCTGTAGTTTGAATAATTTTGCTAAAGACCATTTATGAAATATTATTGATCTGTCATCTTCATCCTGAATTTTTGTGTGCATTTCTGGTCATTTCAAGTAGAGAAGTAAGCAAGCTGATTCTTTTATTACATAACATTTCCTCCCTTCCATTTGGTTTTATATTCATGGAGATTTGTTTATTCAAGGCTGCCTGTTAAAAATAAGAATTCTAATCTCTTTAGTCACAACACTGATTAGCTCAGCTGGTCAGAGCATGGTGCTAGTAATGCCAAAGCTGTGGGTTTGATATCCATATGTGCCATTCACTGAAGAGTTGGACTTGTTGATCCTTCTGGGTCCCTTCCAGCTGAGAATATTCTGTGATTTCTGTGATTTAAGTACGTGAACTGAATCCATTATGGACATTTATTATGAACATCTAAAGTTCATGTTATTTTCTGTGCCTGGACCAATTAAAAATTACTTGAACAAACAAAGAGGCACTGGGTAAAAGGATAAGTGGAAATTTTATTAGAAGAGTATGGCTAATCTTCCTACACATGAAATATATAAATAACCAATACTGAGAAAAGCATAAAAACATCATAGTCTTTATCTAATAAAGTGTTGATAATTATTTGCTTTTTTTTACTCAAATGGACATAGCTTGTTATTTAGACCATCATTTATAAAAAAACAAAAACAAAAAAAAATCTGTAAAGCTAAAGAAAAATCAGTTTTTCATAATTATTGATTGCACTTACCTTATTAATTCTCTGTTTACTGCTACATCTTTTCTTAAAGGCTTACTAGAGCAAAGTAATAGCCATTACCAGAAATAGTAAATATAAAATTATTATTTTGTTATTTCACTGATTAGCTTGTGAGTAACAATTTCCAAAGAACATACTTGTAAAAAACATTTTAGGTAGTGGTTTTTTCCCCCTAAGGTTTTGGGAAATGCAGCTCCCAAGGTAATGCAGTAACTTCTTATCACTATGCTAAATGTAGCCATTTGAAGGTTCCATGACCTCAAAAAGCACACCAGCAGCTCTGAGAACTTGAAGCATTTCTGGCTGTGCTTTGGTCTAAGGAGAGAAAAAGGTCAATCCATTACACTGGGAAATAAATAGGAGAAAATGGAAAAAAAGTTCTGAAGAGGAGGAAGTAGTGAATTCAGTTACAAAAGTGGAACATGAAGTTTGAGCATGAACATGGAGAGAGCATGCAACCTCTGTGAATATTATTTCATTCTTCATTTGTTAGAGAAGGGTTATTAATATATAATGTTAATTTTACAGTATTTGCATGTGTTTAGTGACACCTTACCAGTTTTATTTGTGCTAAGATTGCTGTGAATGACCATTTAAAATGAGTGTACGTGTCAGAAATTTTTCCTTATTTTGTGCCTTTAGATTATTTCTGTTTGTTTTTAAAAATCAGTTTTTGCATAATGTCAGCTCCTTGAGCTGGGAACATTAGTACAAGACAGTCCTGTTACTGTGTAGTTTGTACAAAGACCAGTGGTTCGGACTTTGCTTTACAGAGGCAGGAGCTGACTTCTTGAATCTGAAAGAGAATACAGAGCAGGGGTGGACTTTGAGAGAACTGGAATAAGATTAAGGGTTTACATTTGCCATAACAGCTAAAAAGAAGAGACAGAAAAGGATGCAAGCATAGTGTTTGGACATGAAGCAGCAGCCCATGGGATTGAAAAGGCCAGCTGAGACCAAGCACATGGGCACTTCTGCAGTCCTGAGCTCACTATTGCCTCCAGCTAATCGAGGACAGTGTTTCCTGCATTCACGTTAGAGAAAGTGTCATTGTGATACTTGTGGCTGTAATTACCAGGGCCTGTAGTGACAGGACAAGGGAGCAACAGAGTTAAACTGGAAAAGGGAAGATTCGGGGTAGACATAAGGAAAAAATTATTTGCAATGAAAGTGGGGAGACACACAAACAGGCTGTACAGAGAAGTTGTGGTAACCCTATCATTGAAAAGTGGACAGGGCTTTCAGCAACCTGATCTAGTGAAAGACATCCATGTCCATGGCAGGGGAGTTGGGTTAGATTATCTTTAAAGGTTTCTTTGAACTCAAACCATTCTATGAGTCTATCTTAAACTAGCTTTGACAAACTTTTGGTTGTCACAGGGCAGTGTCACCTGCAAACAGTTGGTCCAAAGTAAAGGTCCAGAACAAGGTCCCAAGATCTTGCTTTCTTCCTCCCCTTACTTTGATGGAAAAAAAAAAAAGTCTCTAAGGTATTGTATTTCATTAACAATAGAATTGTATTTCAAAGGCAGGAAGTTACTTCTCAGGACAGTATATCTTCCTCATCTGCTTGGATTTGTTTAGACTCTGGGATCCATGAATTGTGTCTGTGAAAAAGTCACTACTAAGATCTGACTCAACTGTACTTCTCTCATGGTGTGTCCCCTAGTTGTGGCTCACATGGCTGAGCATACAGAAGGCTCAGTCAGTGCCACCCATGCAGGAATGTCCAGACACCTCCTGACCTTGTGGAAACAACACATTTTCCTCAGTCCTTCCATGTGCCAGCACATGCCCCACAGCCAGCCAGCTGTCTGCCTGTTGGATAGATAATTGTTAACATAAAAAAAAAAGTATTAGAAAAATACTTTAGAAAATACTTATTAGAAAAATAATGTTAATAGTAGTATATAGCAAAAAGACTCTTCTGATTTCAGTAAATAACATTAACATCTATTGGCTGCTTAACATTGCCTGTTTGCCTTTGGCATGTTGGGATTTATCTTAGCCTAGTGTAATAAATGGAAATGTCACCATTTAATTAAATGGCTCCAGGTCAAATCCATCCAATGATTACTCTGTGTTGAAGTTCACAGCAATAGCATTCTTTGCATATCAGAACAAATTTTCTGTCAGTGTTGCTAAGTTTTTGGTAATTGTTTGTGTTGCATGCCTTTGTGTCATTTTTTTGTAAACTAACAAGTGTCATGTCAGTGATTATATTTAATAAAATCAATATCCTATTAATCAGTAAGTTCAAAAGAAAACAAAATATTTTAGGTTATTCATAAAACCGTTCAAAATGCATTGTAAAATTTCTCAAGTGAATTAATGTTTTCTGGTTTTTTCTCACCAAGGAGGTTTCATGATTATAGATAAGAGAAGTTAACTTCAGGATGCTGAAAAGGAAACAGAGTTCAAGGGTGGAAGCCCAGCCTGTTACAGATTTTGGTCCCGATGAATCTTTGTCAGACAATGCAGATATTCTATGGATTAACAAACCAGTAGGTATCTCTTTATGTAATTGCTAATTTTAAGTTAAATGTAACTTGAATTGTTGAAATATGACTTCCACAAAAATTCTGAATTAGATATTAGTCAGAAACAAGTTTTGAACTATAGTTGCTAGTGTACCAGATAATATTTTGAATAATATCAAAGACTAAACAAAATCATTTCTTTTGGCTGTTCCAAAATTATGGGATGATCAAGCAGTATTTTCCAACCAGATCATCTGATTGATTCTTTTAAAACAGCCATCTTTTCAAGGTCTCTGGTTCCTAACATGTTCGTTGAAATTACAAGTTCATAAAATGAGCATTTGAAAAGAATGTTAAAAGGAGGATTTAGTTGCTCAAGTGGTAGCCATCAATAAACACTTTAGATTTTCAGATCTCTCCTTTTAAAACATTTATGAATATAAAAGTGTTGTTATTTTGGTTGTTTATTTTGAAGTACAGCTCTCATTTTTCTCATACCATTTAACCTAAAACCTGCCTTGAGAAAAAGAGAGGTGTAAAAGTGTCTGGCAACTTGAAACTGGGGAAAATTTCATTAGGAGTGGAGTTATTAATAGACTGTGTAGTATTAAGGAAATGTCTTTACCATGTAAATATATTTATTATGATTGAATTATTTATGCAGGAGTGAGCATGGATCCAGGATTCCAATATTGTGAATCTTTTCTGTTTTTGCAGAGAAAACATTTTCACATTTCTCTTAGTGTATAAATTTTTACTTTTTAAAAGCAGGAAGTAAAATATTCTGAAATAATACCTGTTGTTAGCATTGCATTCATATAAGGAAACCATCATCTCATTTGTAGTAAGGGTGCCAGATGCCCTCAGCTTTGCTGCTGAGTTTTAACACCGAAAACTATTCAGCATGAATTGATATATGGGTGTTGTCTTGTCAGTTGTTTAAGTAGAATGTTTGTATTGGCTGCTGTAATAAATTCAAAATGTCATTGCAGAAATATATGATGGATATTTACCTACATTTCTCATCACAGAATGCATGAGATTTTCGTGGAATAATATTTCTTGTCATGCTGATGGACTAGTTGTATATTGCTTAGTATTTGTAGTACTGGCACTTTAATGTGTCAGAGAACAAGTTTTGTATCAGCAACGCTTGATTACTTACGTTGTTTCAGTTGAAACAAGGTTCAAAACAAAGCGGATGTTAATGGGGTATTGGAGATCATGTATAAGGTGTCTTCTGCTTCCAAATTATTAAACTGAGCTCAGAGTATACAAATGATAGAACTAATAAATTCATGTCAGATATCATTAAAGTTAGTGAACAGTAAGTATTAAATTAGATGGCTCTTCTTGAGTCTTTTGGATATCAGAAGGTCCAAGGTACACTATAAATGAGTATAGAATTTTTACCCAGATGAAAAATTTTGATAAATATACTTCAGGTCTTTTTATTTAAAAGATTTTTTTTGTTGCTGCAGTATCTTTTCCTATTTGTTACGATAGGTATGACCTTCCCAACTATGTTTCCTTATACTTGCCTGACTTCAAAATGTTTCAATCACATTTTGTATTTAAAAGGAAAAAATCCAGCCCTATACCTCCATATTGATATGTTCTGCTTTTTAGTTACACCTCGCTCTCTGACTGGCAATGAGGAGTGAGACTGAGTCCTAATTAGTAAAAGAAATGAACAGTTCTCCTATAGCAACAAAACTTGATTGGAACAAAAAGAAGTAGCTGCCTGTGACATAGTCTTTTTTATATTTATTATTTTTATATTTATTATTTTCATAACCAGAAGGATGCTTTTAATCCTGTGACTCTCTCTTAATTTTTTGAGTTGTGAACTGATTTAAAAATAATTTCTTAAGTAAACTAAAATTTTCCACAAATATTTTTATTTAATCCATCGTCCCAGCTTCAACTAATTCTACCTATTGTCTACCCATAAATGTGATGGGTTGTAATTTGAAAAGAAATTGAAGTGCCACAAAGTAGAAATTATAGAATCCTTATTCTCAGTTTCATGGCTCTTAATTCATGTTTTCTGACTTATACAACCTCACTAACTAACTAATAAAAGTATATACGTGTCTATACATGTATAAGTAATTTAGGAGTGCTTATTTTTGGTTGAAGACCTTTTATATGTGGATTGTGATGTAAAAGGACACAGACTGCCTTTACAAAAGACTGCCAGGGTAACTTGTGGAAGCTAAATATTTGAGGGCTTTTTGAACATCAAACCAATCTTGTAATATCTTGTGTTTGGGTTTTGTTTGTTTTTATTTTTTTTCAGTGGGTGCACTCTTTACTACGAATTTGTGCCATCATCAGTGTTATTTCTGTGTGTATGAACACTCCAAAAACCTTCGAGCATTATCCGCCTCTCCAGTATGTGACATTTGCTCTTGATACTCTGTTGATGTTTCTTTACACTGCAGAGATGATAGCAAAAATGCATATCCGTGGGATAGTTAAGGTAAGCATTTAAACAGTATTCTCTGTGTGCTTCCAGTGATCTGAATGCATGCTAATGACACTTGATATTTGGTTTTTAACTTGCCAGCTCTTCTTGCTATGATTGTTTTTAACTGCAGGCAACATCATGGTGTATAAACTGAAAAGACAGATGGATAAAGATGTAGCTTTACTGCATATTTAATCCCCTCAAAATATAATGCAAGAATTCATAGTAAATGAAGAATTAGTAGAAAATTAAGGAAACAGATAGTTTCATTTTATTTGTATAAAGAATTAAAGGAAAAATAAGCTACATACACATTAGCAAGAATATTTTATATATGTCTGTCGGTCCATATATGAACTTAGAATTTTGATTTTTGTTTCATGTGGCTGGATGTGTTTTTGTATGTTTACTTAAATAAGAACATGAGTCTTACTGTGAGCTAGTCGATAAAGTGATCTTGGTTTGAATTTTTTTTACCTTGATATAATCCATGTTGGTAAACAAAATGCTTCTCTTATCATATGACTGCTGTTGTTGCTGGGCTAATTTGTATAAGTAGATTGGAGGCTGCAAAATTGCAGAATATGTTAGTAATCATTATTTGGTACCATTATTTTATTGATTGTTTATAGTCTTCTGCAAAAAGATACAAATTTGGCTTTCATGTATAAAATCCATTTGCATACCTTACTGACAATGCAATTATGGCACTACTGCACATAATAGATAATGTGTGTTACGTTATCCTTGCTTTTAACTCCTTAAATGTCTGGTGATTCCAAAGATATCTGTAATTAAGATCTTATTTTTTTCTGAGTTTGCTGTCTGCAAACTGAGAAAAACTGAACTATTGTGTCGTTATGCTTAATGAATATTAATAGTAAAATTTTAATTGTCGTTAATATTGCTATTTAGAAAATTACTGAAATAAGATGATTCTGAGAAAAATGTCATGGGTTGTGTAAAGCCAGAGTAATCTTTTGTGAAGTGCTGTTTCTTGCTGCTACCTGAGCTCTCTTGTTCAGAGATGTCCGTGAAGAAAGTGAAGACGTGGACACAGGATTTTTTATGCATCAGGAATTAGTGACCATTGTGAACATTTGAACAGTGTGGGAATAAAAAGTTACTATTACAACCAGTGCAGTCTTTGCAGAGAAAAGGAAATGTAGATATTAATGCAGAGAGAGAGGGCTTTTGTACACTGGCCTTTGAGTATGCGAATACTAACTTCACTCACAGTCAACACCTAGGGGCTATGAAAGATACGCTGCTGCATAGCCTATTGTCTTTACTGGGTTGTTTAAATTTGTGGATTTGTGAGAAAATCTTAAGGATTGCTGTTGTCCTTATGGGGGACTTCAGCTTGCCAGAAATTACCTGGGAGCATCACATCTGGGATGTACAATCTGGGCTGGAAGATTCTTGAAAAACCTGGATGACAGCTTTAAGGAACAGGTCCTAAGGGGGCTGACTCAGAAAGATGCTCTCCTTGATCTACTGCTTGTCAACAGAATCGATCTGATGAATGAAGTGGAGATCGGCAGCTGTCTTGGCAAGAGTTTAAAATCTTTGTTGACAGAAGGAAAAATGACAGCAAAACCTCAGCTCTGAACATGAGAAGAGCAGACTTCAGGCTGTTCAGGGAATTAGTAAGTGAGGTCCTCTGGGAAAATATTTTTTGCCATCAGTTCATCACTGTCCATCAGTTCTGATCACTTTTTAAATATCATGTCCTAATGAAACAGGACCAGGCAATTCCCAAATGTCAGAAGTCATGAAGACTTGGCTGAACAAAGTTTTCTAGTGCAAGTAAGCCAAAAAAAAGGAAAGATGTATGACCAGTGGAAGCAAGGTCAGGTGACATGGGAAGATGTGGAGACACTGCTTGTCACTGTCGGAAGAAAATTCATGTGCCAAAGATCAGCTGGGGTTAAACCTGCCAGAATTGTGGGGGACAATGAAAAGAGTTTTTTCAAGTATATCAATGGCAATAGGAAGCGTAAGGTTAACATCAGCCTTTAACAGGATGAGAATGGTCACCTCACAAACAGGGACATGGACAAGGCAGAGATGTTTAATGCATTCTTTGCCTCTGTGTTCAACACAGATGGTGGACCAAGGGATCTCAGCCTCTGAAGTGGTGACCATGATTGTCAGAAGGATCATCTCCCAGTTGTCCCTGAAAATGTTCAGGATTTGTTGCTCCAGCTGGATCCCTATGAAGCCTGATGGAATATAGCAAAGAATCCTCAAAAGAGCTGCTGATGTCACCAAAAAACCTCTCATGATGATTTTTGAGTGGTCTTGGGAATCTGGAGATGTCCCAACTGACTGGAAGCTGGCAAATGTTGTCCTGATATTCATCAAGAGCAATAAGGAGCATCCCAGAAACTACATTCCTTTCAGGCTCACTTGAGTGTTTGGTAAATTTGTGGAGAAGATTATTCTGGCAGGTATTGAAAAACACCTGAAAAACAATGTCAGCACGGCTTCGCAAGAGGAAAGTCCTGCTTATCAAATCTGATTTCCTTTTATGAGAAGGTAACCCACCTAGCTGATCAAGGGAAGCCAGTGGATGTAATCTTTCTGGATTTCAGTAAAGCTTTCAATACTACCTCTCAGGGACTCATCTGGACAAAATGTCCAGCACACAACTGGACAAACAGATCATGTGATGGGTGAGCATCTGGCTCATGAGTCGGGCACAAAGGGTTACAGTGAATGGGGTGACATCAGACAGGTGACCTATGACTAGTGGGGTTCCACAGGGCTCCTCAGCTCTGTGGTCTTCAACATCTTCAATAATGAGCTGGACACAGGACTGGAAGAGATACTGAGCAAGTTCAACAGACACTATGTTGTCTACTTTGAAGGCAGGGAGGGCCTGCAGAGAGCCCTCAACTAAATAGGGGGCAATCACAACCCATATGAAATTCAGCAAGGGAAAATGCCAGATTCTGCACCTGAGCTGGGGCTACCCTGGATGTACAGTACAGACTGGGGAATGGGAGGCTGGAAAGCAGTGTTATGGAAAGGGACCTGAGCATCTTGGTCTAGAGAAAGCTGAATATGAGTCAGCAGTTTTAAGTGCTACATTATAAGGAAGATATTAAACTGTCAGAGAGTGTCCAAAGGAGCGCAACAAAGATGATGAAGTGCCTTGAGGGGCAGACTTATGAGGAGTGGCTGAGGGCACCTGGTCTGTTCAGCCTGGAGAAGAGGAGACAGAGGGGAGACCTCATTGCCCTCTACATCTTCTTCCTGAAGGGAAGAGGAGGGGCAGACACTGATCTCTTCTCTCTGGTAACCAGTGACAGACCTGAGGGAATGGCCTGAAGTTCATCAGGGGCGGCTTAGGTTGGGTATTATCACCCAGAGGGTGGTTGAGCACTGAAACAGGCTCCCCAGGGAAGTGGTCACCAGCACCAGCCTGACAGAGTTCAAGAGAGAATGTGGACAATGTTCTCAGGCACATGGTGTGACTCTTGGGGCTGTCCTGTACAGGGCTGGGAATTGGACTCAATGATCCTTATGGTACCCTTTCAACTGAGCTTATTCTGTGATTCTGTGATAGACTAGACTAGACTAGACTAGACTAGACTAGTTTGAAGGGACCATTGGAAGGGAATTAAAATCATAATCTAGTCCAACTGCCTAACCAATTCAGGGCTGACCAAAACTTAAAATATTTTACTAAATGCGTGTCCAAATGCCTCTTAAGCACAGGGTTTGGGCCTCAACCATCTCTCTAGGAAGTCTGTTCCAGTGTTTAACCATCCTCTTTATGAAATGCCTCCTAATTACCAGTCTGAACCTTCTGTGACACAGCTTTGAACCATTTCCATGCATCCTGTCACAAGTTACCAGGGAAGTCAGCGCCTTATTCTCCACTTCCCCTCTTCAGGAAGCTGTAGAGAGCAATGAGGTGACACCTCAGCCTCCTGTTCTCTGAGCTAGACAGACCTAGAGTCCTTAGCTGCTCTGCACAGGATGAACTTGTCTCTGGTTGTTGTATGATGAGGTTGTCTTTGAAGCATGTCTGATGAGTCTGGGCACACAGAATTGATAGCTGTCTGGACCTGGTCTCAATTAATGTTATAAATGTATAGATAACAACACATAATTTCTTTTGCGCACTGACATTTTGCTCTTCATTTATTAGATAAAAATGCACTAAAATAGATTGGATATAACTACTGTTACACAAAGAGAGTTTAAGTAGAAAATGGCTGCATTTATTGTTATTTTAACAATTGAGGATTGGCTTAAAACGTAATGTCTTGTAGCATTCATCAGTAAATATAATTACACTGAAATTAAGTGCCTTCTTTGGTGCCATTTTGGGAATTGTCTGAGAATAACTTAGATGTAAGGGACCTCCAGAGGTCATCTGGTCTGACCTGCTGCCCAAAGCAGGTCCAGTTAGATAACATTGCCCTTGGCTTGGATTGTCCAGATGAATCTCAGACTTCTCCAAGGATGAAAATTCCACAAGCTCTTTAAACAGCCTGTTCCAATGCTTGACCAACCTTATGCAAAAAACATTTCTGGTAATGTTTAATCAAAATTTTCCATTTTTCTTTCAATGATATTCAATGAATAACATTTTTTAGTGAATTATTTGACTTATTCTTTGGATTATTGTTTCCAGAGAAAATACTAGTTTAATATTATAATTTTGCCAAGAGCGTATTGATCCATGGACTGCCAAAGATAGTGGCAAATGAAGTAAATAAGGTACTGTTTAGAAACCTGTTAGCATTTATTAAAGATGTTTGCATATGAAACATCTTTATATAAGGCAATTTTTACTGCAATGTTCTAATTTATATGGATTCAAGTCTTTTAGTGAGTGCAATATCAATGAATGCATTGCCATATGATTCTACTGAACTTTACCATGAATCAGTATTTCTGTAAATGCTTGAGGAATTGAAATGCTAAAAAAAACTTTGAACCATGATTAATGCAAAATTATAGTCCAGCAAGAAACCTAATTTATGAAGAAGTTA